TTAGTGCTGCTGAGCCAGTTGAGATCTTTAGGTGGCCGCATGTGGTCATTGTTTCCTTTAAGAGCACCAAAGTCCCTGCTCTGGAAGTCACCCTTGAACACCAGATTACACCAGGATTCTAGCCATTCTGCTATCGTTTCATGGATCTGTCTCCTTGATGTAGTTATGTCTCTAATCCATCAATGAGTTTGCGTGTGTGGCCCGGGGGTGGGGCTGGGGGCTTGTGTGTCATGAACCTGATGTAAAATGGGACCCTCCACTCTCCCTGCTCTGTTTCTCAATTTTCTCATGTGTTTTCCCTTGTTTGTTTATTGCCCGTCTCCCCTGGCCAGACTCGCAGCCTCGAGTGACAGGGACCTACCCTGTTTTGTTTACCTCTAGTGCCCCGGAGCAGTGCCTGACTCGTGGTTTTCTTGCCATTGGCTTCTGTGGGGTGGGCTTGGGCTTCCAAGTCACAGTGAGCCCATGCACAGTCGAATGAAGCCCTGCCTGCTCCTGCGGCATCCCCATGATCAGCTGTGGGAAGGACTGCTGGGGCTGGTTTCCAGGAGTAAACCACCAGATCTGAGGTGCCCGGGGGGGGGGGGTGTCAGACTGCCAACTTTTCCACTGAAAGCTGGGAGCTTAACCATTGGCCCCACCAGTGCCCAGCTAGTAAACACCTAATAAATATTTATTAAGTGAATAAGAGCTAGCCAGTAGATAGCTCATCAGTTGCTCTTAGCTCTTTGATTTGAATGATGTATTCTCCCTCCACTACTTCAGAATTCCATCTTTCTGTTATTGTTCTATTGCAATATTCTCCCTCTTCCTTAGCCATTTTTGCAGTTTATGATTTTCTTGAAAATCACCCCCTTTCAATTCTGTTGACACGAAGTTATATATAGCATTGTCTTCAGTGTCAAAGGGAGCCCACACATCCCTTTACGTTCGCTTCCTTACGGCTCGTTTGTGACCGCTCTTCACTGCTGCTCAGAGTCACCAGCAGTCAGTTGGTCCTCACCTTGGTCTTTCCGGAGAGCGAGCCTGTGGCTTTATATTTCTTTGGTTGTACTAAATGGACATGTGAGCACTTCTCTCCTTTTCTTTGGGACTTGGCAGAGGATGGGCTCTTAGGATTCCAAGCCCTTTTCCTCAAAGCGATAGCCATTGTTCACGCCCCGCAGCAGCCAGCCATGCAAGTACCAAGCTCAAACGGCAGTCTGATGCTCAAACACTTTTGCAGAGATGGCTGGCTACCAGCTCTGTAGCTACCATGACAGGGCCAGTTGATAAGGCTGAGCTTACCGCGCTGGGAGAGAACCACACTGCCTCCGGTGTCTCCGAGTGGGGCAGGGCAAGGTTGGGATTTGTTAGGGATCTGAAAGAGGTGGGTGGAGACTGTGTGGCAGGGACTTTTGAGTCAAGGAAGGGACTCTTAAGACCCCTAGGTACAAACCATTTGTTGGTGGAGTTGTGAATGGAGCCTTCCAGAAGTTTCTGTAATGAACAATTAAGCCAGGGCTAGAGTAAAACTATGCAAAGCTAGACAACATGGAAGGCTGTGAGCCGGGCTGGAGGAGGCGGCTTCTCTTTCCAATGTCCTTTATCACCCACCCCGCCTCACACACACACACACACACACACACACACACACACACTAGTCTTTTTGGAAACCTCAAAGAGTCGCTCGCCCATGATCCCCCACCCTCTGAGGAAGAGCTCACTGGCCCCCGTGTGGTGCAGGTGGCCCTTTCCCAGCCCTTGGTGGGCGAGGCTGGCTTCACTCTAAAGAGATGTTCTGTCACCCGCATGCACCTGCTTTTCCTCAGAGCCCCTGGCCAGCCAGTGCTCTGAGGGACCTGTGCTTCTTTGCACATTTCTCTTTAGATTCCGATGGTGCTGAGGGGAAGAGGAAAGCACATGTGTGCCATTTGGGGGGCCTGCCTCAGAGGAAGCCGGGAGCAGAGGCTCCCTGCGGATGCCTTGCTTCCGCCAACTGCTCCCTCCTCTCCCCAGCCACGCTCCTCAACCTGCCAGCATGACCTCACTGATTAAAACAGCTCCCTGACCTCATTCCACCTGCAAGACCAAGCCTAGGCTGCTTCGTATGTCAAACCTTCCCTGGCCAGCTCTTCCCTCGTTGCCGTCACCCCCTCTTGCCTGCATAAGACCATGTGCAATGTCTTCCAACACCCCAGCCTTCCTTTGGGGTGGCGGCGGAGGGGTCTCCTGCCTTTGCTTAGGGTGGCGGCGGAGGGGTCTCCTGCCTTTGCTTAGGGTGTGAGCCCTGGTGGGGCAGTGATGAAGCACTCATAGCTAACCAGGCTTTGAACAGTCTGAACCCAGCCACTTACCAGGACAAAGACGTGGCAGTCTGCGTTTGTAATTGTTACAGCCTGGGAAACCCCATAGGACAGTTCTAGCCTATAGGGTCACTATGGGTCTGAATCAACTCTATCCCAAATGATTTGTGGGTTTTTTGGGGGGGGAGACGGAAGGCAAGGGTTGCCTTTACTTATATTGCCCCTGTGTGAGATAGTCTCTCTCTCTGTCTGTCTGTCTCTCTGTCTCTCTTTCTCAGAGACATTCAACCAGATATCATCGGAACCGTCTTAATTGAGCCTCTCCTTTCTTTAGATGCCCTCACCACATTTAACGCAGGACCTGGAACTGTCGGGCTCACTGCTTACTTCAGTAGGATTTGCCCCTGCTCCTCCTGTCCCACACACTGTGGTGTCTGCTCACTCTCACTCCTACCATCTCCCTCCCAGCCCGACCCCGCGCCAGTGCTGAACGTACATCCGATAAACGAACAACCAAGTGAGGCATCAAAGGGCCTTGTTCCACACTGGCTGAGTGTGGGATGGGGGTAGGGTCAGACTGGTCCACCCCACGTGTGTGCTGTTTAGCGAGCGTTAAAGCTAGTGGCATCACGGTGGCCCATGAGCATTGCAGTTTATCCGAAGAGATGCAGCAGATGTGCTCTGGCTATTCAAAGAGGCAGAACCGAGGTCCAGTTGTTGGGGCCAAGCTGAGCCTTCTGAGGTAGGATGGCGGGATTGGCTGAGTAGACTTGGTCATTGGAGGAGGGGAAGCATACTCCAGGCAGAAGACACTGGATGAGCAAGACTGGTGGGAGGTTGTAGATTGTGTTTGCAAAATAGCAAGTTGGAGAGACCAGTGTTGGTGCACTGGGAGGAACAGGACCCAAGCAGGGCATTAGGCTGAGCTGGCTGGATGTACTGGCAGCAGGTTTATAGGGCAGGGGATGATATAAGGACTCGTGTTGCCTTTGAATTCTATTGGAATCAGTAAAGTGATATGGTTGCCCAAACCCCAACTCTCCAAGACTCTGTTCATAAAAACTGTGATGCACAAAAGAAGGAAACGTAATACAACCTGTAAAGGTAATGGGTAGTAGGGTGAGAGTTAAATGCAGTCATAGACATAAGAGCACATCATATTCCTCCAATCAGCAAAGAAAACAGAATGCTCAGGACCAAGGGCCGGAGAGGCGGAGGGGGTGTGGGGGTCAGGATGGTTCGGGTCAGGAGCTTGGCAAAGCCCCAGACCTGCATTCAAGTTCCTCCAGGACCAGATTATTGGGTCGAATTCTAGGATAAAGCTCACAGCCATTCTGTGGCTGCTACCACATGCCCGGCATTGTTCCCAGCCCTTCAGCGTGTGGTGTTGTTGTTGTCGGTTGCTATTGAGTGGACTCCAGTGTGCCGGTCCTTCACCCCCTTCGCCATCCTTGTGGCCCCGGTATCTTTGAGAGCCTCCCAACCTCAGGGGCCGTCTCCCAGCGCTGTATCGGATGATATTCTTGTGATCCACAGTTTCACGTAGTGATCTGGGGACTACTGTGTGCTCCTATGTCCGCTGTAACTTTTAACACTCACCCAGGCCCCGGCATACATTCCTTTTACAGACTGTAGTCACTGTCTATGGCTGTGTTAGGTGTGGAGCAACAGTGGTTACGTGTTGGGCTGTGATCCACAAGATCTTCAGTTTGAAACCACCAACCCCCCCGGGGGGAGAAAGGGGAGGCTTACTGTACCTGTAAAGAGTCAAAGTCTCAGAATCCCACAGGGGCAGTTCTACCTTTATCACCGTAAGTCAGAATCAACTTGAGCAGTGAGGGTGTGTGTGGGGGGGGCGGGTTTGCTCCGTTCTCTGCTCAGGGCTGAATCCGAGTGTTACCTAAGCTCAGCTCTGGCCTGGAGGCTCTGGAGAAAAACCCACTTCCTCCAGTTCTCCATGACTGAACGACTGGCTGAAGATCGCTCTCGGTAACTAGAGGCCCCTAGTTTGGTCTTTCCACCTGGCCAGGCCTTCTTCAGTCAAGCCAGTTAAATTTCAGATCTCCTGCACTTCTTCTGTGAACAGCCAGCCCTACCTGAATAATCTCCTTACTTTAAGCTCAAGGATGCCGTGTGACTAAAGGCGCCCTAGTGGCGCGGTGGTTAGGCGCTCAGCCATGAATGGGAAGACTGGAAGCTGGAATCCCCAGTGGCTGCCCACCCCCGCCCCACCCCCCCAAAAAAAACATGAGGAAGCTGGCTTCTGCTAAGACTTAGAGCCTGGAGAGCAGTCTTGCTTTGTCCTGGAGAGTCACTCTGAGTAGGCCTTGCCTTCATAGCAAAGAGTTTGGCCTTATGGGATTTATGTCTCATGAGGTAACCTGAGCACATGTATAAAATCCATTTTATTCACAGTCTTGGGATTATATAGAAGGTATGCACCAGGGAGAGGGAAAATCTAGTGGGGTGGTGGTGCAGGATGGGGCCACGCCTGCAATACTGCCTCCCACACAGGTATAGAAATCGAGGTTCAGAGGAGATAAGTGCTGGGTGCAAGGTGGTGAGCCCTCAGGCTACTGTGCCTCAACTTCTCTCAGGAGAGGACCTGGGATCTGGCCCTGCACCAGGAAGTACATTGGGGGGAGGGGCTAGGGACTGACTCAGGCGGACAGCCCAGACGCCTCTTTGACCCTAGTTTCCCACCATCCCCTGCAGGATTCAAGGCATATAGCCAGCAGCCTCGAACTGGTTCATGGAGGATCCTCAAGAGATCCTGGCTGGGCCAGCTGTCCCCTCCAGAGGGAAGAGCTGCATAGAGGAAGGGGACTGCCGCAGGAGTGGACATGAATGCTGGCTTCCAGAGAGAACAGCGTTTTAGTTGTGGTCACCGGAAGTGGTGCCTTCAGCACAGGTAAGCTCAGCTATCACCCCAGGTGCTTGCCGGGGTTCCGTCTGGATGTCTCTTGCCTGAGTTTGTGTTAGTGCCTAGCATTCTTTATTGATGTTGTTGATTGCCTGGAGCCTCCGTGAACCTGCACGAGAAGTCCTGGGGACAGCCTGGTGCCTCCATTTGTGTCATCCTGCACATGCCCATGTCACAGTTAGATGACTGTGGGGCCTGACATGGTCCGTGTCTGACCTCAGCCTGACACAGAGCACCAACAGACGTGTGGGGAGCTGTTGCAGAGGGGGTAAAGCACCAGGCTGCCTCTCCAGACCTGGCATTTGTCCCTCCCCTGCTCCCACCCCCAGCCGCCCTTCTCATCCCTGCAAGCTCCGCTGTTTGCGGGGAAAGAGCCCTGAGGAGGGGACTTGCCCACGGGGACAGGGGCTGTCAGCTCCATCAGAACCCTGGCTCTGCTCTCCCCAGAGACCCCCAGGATCTGTGATTAATGGGGGCTGGCTCGGTGCGTCTGGCCCAGCTCTCCTTGCCATCAGGGACTCGGATATAGGACACCAGAATGGATGGCGTAAGAATGAGGTGGAGGGCCCTGAGCCCTGGCCAGCAGGTATGCCAGGCAAGAGATTTTGGCGAGTTGCTCTGGAGGGTGTCACACACTCTCCTATGCTGACGGGGAGAAGGCTGGCTCCCACCAGCTGGGGTTTGGGGTTATTTGAGGACTGGGAGATAGGGAGCCTGTAGGCATGGCAAGGGCTTCAGAGAGCCCAGCCCAGGCCCCTCCTGAAGAAGGGTGGCAACTTTCCCCTGGTCCCAGGGACATGGAAGGGGTGCCCACCATGCCTCTGGGCTCCCTGTGGGCCCAGTGTTTGCTGGGAAGTGGCTTGCAGGCTCTGAAAGGGTCAGGGCTTGCCCGTGAGGGAGGTCCAAGCTCCAGGCCTGACTCTGGGACGTTTCGGACCTCTGAGCCTCATGGTTCCCGTCTGTGGTAATAAGGACACATGGACCCAAAAGCACGTTGGAGGCCCTCGGTGAGGGCCCGCTTCTCTTAGTCCCACTGCCCCAGGAGGGGCTCTCTCTGGAGCCAAAGGTTCAGGGAGGTGCTGCTGTCTCCAGCTCTCAATCTCGGGCCACATCAGGTACAGGTGCCCAGACAAGTACAGAAACCTGTTTGCCAACAATGCGACAAAGTCATTTCGACCAGTGAGGTGCCCTCTCCAATGGCGAGTCTCCCAGGGCCATAGCCCCCTTAAATAAGGAGCTGGACCAGCGGGGAGAGCTGCAGCTGCATGTTCTCCACGTCTCCACTCCACGTGGCCGAGACTAAACTCATGGCTTGTCCACACTGCGCCCGACTGTTAAGGTCATCTGAATCCCACCATCGACTTGTGGAAAGGAAGCTGATGCCCCAGTGACTTTTCTGCTCATCTGACAAACTAGTGATGGAGCTGGGGTGGAGAGTCAGGTTTCTTCCCTCCAGGGAAGCCTGTGGACCATGCCCAGACCCCCCCACCCCAACTCCTGACCATGCTGCCCCATTGTGGTGTCCTGTGGGAAGGAGGGTGGCCCCTGGCAGGGTGTCTCCATTTTCTGGGGAGCAATAAGGGAAGAGTTGGATCGAGGTTGGATGGGTGAGCTGCCAAAGAGTCACCTCAACTCATGGCAACCCAGCTGTACCAGAGGAACTGGACACCGTCCTTCCCCACCCTCAGATTGATTGTGGTTCGGGCTGCTTGGGATACTTGGGGTCCTCAAAAGCTTGTTTTCTGAAAGAAATCACCAGGCCTTTCTTCTGAGCTACCTCTGGGTGGACCCAACCTCCAACCCAGCCGAAAGGTTGCATTTCTGGAAGAGAGCTTTGTTGTTGAGAAAATACTTTCATGTCCATTTTCCAGGGAGATTCTTCCTCTAGTCAGGCATTCAGAAATCGCATTTCCTTTGCCCGAGGCACCTATTTTGTTTTATGGAGTTGATTCTAAAGAGACTCAGACTTTCAGACATGGCAGGGAACTTAGAATTTGCCTGGTCCGACCACTCAGAAAATCAGTTGTGGCCATAAAATCAGCTCCGATCCGGCCACCTTCCATGTCAGAGAAGCACTGCTCCCCATAGGGCTTTCAGCAGCTGGTTCTCCATAAACAGAGCCCCAGACCATCTGAAGCTCCTCGGGGGAGACTGACGGCTTCCACCTTTTGATTAGCATCTGAGCACCACCCAGGAGCGCCCTCCATGGCGAGACAGACTCCTTCAGCCTGAGCAGATGAGAGATGGACGGCCTCTGTATCTCGCTGGACTGGTCATTCTCAATCTGGCCAGCATCCTCCTCTGCCCTGGAGGCTGACCTTGAGACTCTAGATATCCTGGTTCGCCAGTGTTTGCTCGGGTTCCGGCCAACCCAAGAGAGCTGGAGGAGAGAGTTGTGATGGGATTTCTTCTCTCCGTTCCCTCCCTGATTGGCCATGGTTCAGACGTTGGCTGCTTCCCTGGAATGATGCCCCACCCTTGCAAATCGGCGCTGTAAGTTCTAACCTCTATCTGGAATCAACTCATGGCAGTGAGTTTGGTTGGTTGGTTGGTTTTGATGCCCGTGGTGACCATAAGGAGCCCTGGTTATGGAGTAATTTCCTCGTTGGACTGCTAATCACTTGATTACCAAAACCAAGCTCTGGGCCAGCGAGGCCATGCTGACTCCCTGTGGGTTTCCTGTGAGTAGAAAGCCCAGTCTTTCTCCGGTGGAACCACTGATGCTTTTGAACTACCAGCCATTCGGATTGAGACCAACAAGTAACCATGACACCACCAGTTTGAAACACCAGTTTGCACATGGGAAAAAGATGGGGTTTTCCATAGTCTGAGAAACTAACAGGGGCAGTTCTACCCAGTCCCATAGAGTCCCCATGAGGTGGCATCACCTCAGTGCCAGTGACTTTGGAGGGTGTTTTGGTTTGTAGAGGTTGTCCTTTTGTGAATGGGCTGTCTTTGTTATGTTAATGAGGCAGGGTTGGTACACCCCTTATTTTGAGTCAGCTCTTTAGAGATATGACAGAGAGTAAACCAGCAACGAACAGAGGCAGAGATGGGGGCAGAGAGCTGCCAGGCCACAGGAGGATGGCCAGGGGCAGAAGCTCAGGGGAGACAGGTCCTTCCTCCAGAGCTGACAGAGAAAGCAAGCCTCCCCTAGAGCTGTCACCCCGAATTCAAATGTCCAGCCTCGACACTGTGAGAAAACAGTTTCTGTTTGTTAAGGCCACCCCCTGGTGAACTTTCTGTTGTAGCAGTACTCCACAACTAAGACACACAGTCAGAGAACTCCAGATTACATCAACAAGGGATGGTTTTCTGCTCTGGGCTTTCCGTTTATAGTGAGTGAGGAGAAGCAAATTTGCCATTTGTAGGGAGAGAGGAGAAGGAAATCTGGTTTGGATCGCTGACAATGTCCAACAACTGCTTGAGAGCCGTCCTCTCAGAACTGCCTTTCTCCAGCAGGAGATAAGAAGCAGCGCGTGGTCCCATGGTATGTATTCATGGCGATCCATGTAATGCATCCTTTCAATGTTGAGAGCTTTGGAGTCTACTTGCTTCTATGGCTTGACATCTGTGTAACCCATCCTGGATTTAAACGGCAAATAATAACAGAGCAAGATATTTAAAAAGAAGCAGCAGCTCAGTCAAGAATTTCAATCTTCTTCATTGAGGACACATTTCAGTAACTGAAGGTCAAGGTCCACCCAGAGCTTACTCTGGGGTCTACACAAACCACGTGAGCCCGCAGCACAGCTGGCTGGGTGTTCCAATGTGCACTTGAATGTGCATTTTAATAATAGCCAGTTTTAATAATAGCCAGATAGTATTTTTAGAATAAAAGTCTCATGTCATGTTTGAAGAACCTTGGGATCACCTCCATGGGACACAGTTTGAATACCACCCCTTCAGCAAATACCGGCGGTTCTCATTCCAGGGCAGAACAAGAACCAAGGAACCCCGGGTGCTAACAGTGGGGGGAAGAGGGAGCAGAAGGCAGAGGAGGAGAGAGTAGAAGATGGTAGAAGAGAGAAGTGAGATCTTGCTGCCCGTGGTGGGAGAGGGTCCCATGGGAGCAGCCCCCAAGCTTGAGAAGACCCCTAACCATGGGTGGTGGCCTTAGCACAACTCCCCAGAGCAGTTTTGAAAAAAGAGGCCTACCTGTTAAAAGGTGCACAGAGAAAGGAGGGGTGTGGAGAGCTTCTTGTCAGCACCCAAGGGCCTCTGTGGCCAAGCCAAAGACCAAGGTGCTGGGCAGGGGAGGGGGGTGGGGGGCACCTAGAAAGCCACAGACAACAGGGGCTTCAGGGGCTGGGCCTGGACACCAAGTCGGGGTGTGTGCAGGAAGGGGAAGGTGTGGTGAGCTTAGGCCAACATTTGTGAGGGACCTGAATGGGAATGAGGTCAGGACCCCAGGGAGGTGGTGACTGGGACCAGGCAGCGGCTTTAGGCATTTAAGGTGAAGCCCCCGAGAGCCAGGAAGAAAGGCGGGGAATCGAGCTCCCACCTGCCTGCCCTCTCCCCAGGAGGAGCAGGGAAGGGAAGCGCTAGCCCCGTGGCTTTAGTTGGCTGTGGGCTGAAGAAGGTCCCTGGGGGATAAAAAGGTACCTGTTCTTGCTGCACACCCCAGGAGTGGGGAAAAAACATTTTCAGATTTTTAAAAGGATGACCTCATTTTTTTCTTATTTACATGGCCCTGTTTGTTTATCTAGTCCTTTAAAAATAGCAAACGTGTGCTAAGCTTAGTGCCCTCACCCCCACCACAGAGGCAGAGCCACTGTGTGGGGAGAAACACCTTTTTATCTAAGAGAGGGGCAGCCTTGTTCCCGGGGACAGCTGGGAACAAAACAGGACAGGTAGGAAGTTTCGTGGTTTTTCATGTCGCTTCTCTAAAATAGCCACACTCCTCCCTCCCACTTCCTGCCTGGCTGAGTGCTGGGCAGTTTCTCCCCTAGGGCAGTCGTGGCCTGAGAGGTCTGTCAACAAGCAAA